ACCTTTCAAGGGGAACTGGCCTTCTCTCTAGAGGAATTCAGGGAACTTGGCATCTCCTCCGGGTACCCCCCTAGACACCACTCCCCCGGTCAGCGGACCCCGTTGTATCAACTGGCCCTGCCCTTGGTTGTGGGCGCTGCTGCTCCCCCGGACAAATCTGACTTTGGAGTGGACAGCTGGCGTGTTGACCTCACGTTCCACCGGGAGCCTGGGAGGCACAGGGCGGGTTCGGGGCGGACACCACTTTGCCACAGGGGAGAGGAACCAAGGAGCCTGGAGACCCGTGGCCATCGGCCATTCGCGGGCCTCCTGAAGGTGACACCGGGTATGCAGCATTTCAAATGTAGTCAATGAGCTTATCTTCCTAAAAATACGTTTATTGTTTTGCTTAACACCAACCTTCCTGCATGAAAATCAGAGGTGATTTCTAAGAGTGTGCACTGACTCGCTCACCAAGCCGGAGTTGGCCCTGACTAAAAGAAATACTTAAAAAAACAATCACCATGAAGGGTACCGAGCCCCAGTCATTTGAATAAGCTCACTAGGCCCGAGAAAGGCTTCCAAACACTCTGTTACCACGGAACACTGAGAACACAGGGAGGCAGTGCGTGGGAACGACTGCATTTTAAAAGTAGTGTTTTTCCTGGAAACCCGAGTCAGTGAGGAAGCTTCAGATCCTGAAGAAAACCACGGGGGGGGTGTTAAAAACACTCCAAAAGAAAGCCTGCGTCTGAAAGGGGGAAAACGCCCAAGGAACAGGCCCAGGCCGCGGCACCGGCCGATGACCTCGCGCGCGCGGTGGGAGCTGCACACCCCCGCGGCAGTGCCGGGCATCTCAGCGATGGGAGCTCACGTTTCGTGTCCACTGCACGGCCACTTGTGGCCGGGAGCCTGCCAGGGCTTGGCCGTGACCCGCAGAACAGAAGACCGCCGGACACCCGTCCTCTGACAAGGGATTTTAAGAGCACACGGTCCCCACACGAGAATCATGCTTCACATTTAAACAATGCGACACAGCTGGTTACCGCGGGTTCTGGAGAAGCACGGACTCCTTGCCGGACTTACCTGGCGCGAGTCCCTGAGCAGAGAGGCCCCTGGCATGTTATCTCTGAGCTCTTGGGCTATTTGCCTGTGAAATGGGGTCCTCTCACGTTTTTATTGCCCAAGGCTGTTTCAAGTGGGACTCTGTGAAAGGCTTTTAGAAATACAGTAAGAATGGGCTATCATCATATAGAATCCTTGCTATCACTGGTCCCTAAAGACTCTAGGGCAGTTTGTGTATCTCCTTCTTTTGGGTCAGTGGGGAGTAGACAAAACAGCTCCCTACCAGTTTTCCATCTCTCTCTCTCTCTCTCTCTCTCTCTCTCTCTCTATATATATATATATATATATATATGGTGAATATGTATATATATATATACGTATATATATGGTGAATTCTAAACTTTAACCTACCTACCTAGAAAAAAATGTTCGATGAGAGAAATCTGGGGAAAATCAGATTTTAAAAGAGAGGAAGGAATTTTGGCCTTTGAGAAGCATGAGATACTACTGGGAGACCGAAAAGGGAAAAAGATAAAAGTCTCTCTGAATCCTAAAAACGCGGCCTGCCCGGCCAAGCCCCTCCCACCGCACCAGAGCACGGAAAAACACGCGCACGGGGTGAAAGGCGCGAAGGTGGGCGCCCTGCACCCCGACTGCAAAGGCGGCCTGAAGAAGCGACCACGCGACTCCCCGAGGCCCGCTGGATGGACAGCGCCGTGGCGGAATGGCCGCCACGACGCACGGCACTGGCCTGCACACGTTCAGTAAGTGCGGCGGCTACTGAGAGATTCTAACCTAGCAGTCCCTTCAATCCTTAAAACACGAGGGGATGCACCCAGATTAGGTTTCCAGAACCGTTTAAGCCACTGAAAGCATTCAAAAGGGGCGACAGAAACGTGGAAACCGTCCATTATTGGACAGTGCTGAATAAGAAAAAAAGGCTTCTGGCCCTGGCTGGCGTAGCTCAGTGGATTGAGCTCGGGCTGCGAACCAAAGTGTCGCAGGTTCGATTCCCAGTCAGGCCACATGCCTGGGTTGCAGGCCACGGCCCCCAGCAACCGCATATTGATGTTTCTCTCTCTCTCTCTCTCAAAATAAATAAATAAAATCTTTAAAAAATAAAAATAAATAAATAAAATCTTTTAAAAAAAGAAAGAAAAAAAGGCTTCTAAACTCTTAGATATTCGGGAGTTCTAGTCATCCTATTGATTCTATCTATCTATGTATCTGCCTAATCTTTTCCCCTTTTAAGATTCCCTGAACACAGCACAGGGAACACAGTCCATAAAATTGCAATAATATGTATGATGACATGGTCGCTGGACTCAGGGTGGTCATTTTTAAGGGGTGTAAATATCTCATCGCTGTGTTGTACACCCGAAACGAACATAACACTCTATGTCAACTGTAACTTTAGAAAATCTCTGTCATGGTAAGCTGTTTGGGCAATAAAAACAGAAAGGGCATATGTATACACCAACACGCACGCACACACACACGTTTTAAAGCAACAGATGAATCCGCACGTCACAAATTCGGAGGCATGTCAAAGGATGGTCATCGGGTCGGCATTCGCAGCAGTGGGAAGGTGATGTCATGTTTTACAGGTCAGGGCCAGGGTGCCAGTAAAAAGTCTTGTCCCAAATATAAGTCCTCATCCTTCCTCCTCTCCCCTCCCCAGGGACTGGCTCAGACCCCAGCGGGGCACCTTCCTTGGCACTTGGGCAAAAAACGGAAGCCGGTCAGAAGCGGTAAGCCTGGCTCCCTGAATTCAGACTGGTGCCACGCGAGGCCTGGGCCCCGGCCTCCTGGAATACCACCCGGGGATGGAGCCAGGGCCACGCGACCTTCCTCTTGCTAAAGTTGATGCTCCACCCCCAGCCCCCGGAACAAGGGAAACTTCTAAAGTTCTGAAGACTCGGCCCCAGCCGGTTTTTCTCTGCAGGGTCCCTGTTGCATAATCTCGGGTATAAGCTTCCAGTATGGATTTGGGGGGGCAGTGTTGCCCACTCTGCACCCCACCCCCCCGAACAGAGGGCTCAAGACTAGGAGCAAAGGAGACTTTGGGAGAGACCCGCTGGGAAAGGCTTCCTTTCGGAAATGAGGCCGATGAGGCCCCAGCAGGCCAGGGGCACCGCCCATGAGGGGCCAGGCGCACGCTGTCCTTGGGCTGTCCTGTCTTCACCGACCTGTGTCCCCCTTCCCAGCAGGGCCGGGCTTCCCAGAGCTGGGTTTGGGATATCGAAATAGGGCTGTCGTGGCAAAGCCAGCTGTCTGCAGGAGAACAGTGCCCTGTCCTTTGAGGCTCCGTGGCTTTAGTGCAGTGGGCACCCCCCGAGGTTTAAGCCGCCTCCCTCCTGCAGGTTTGTGGTAAAACGATGACATCATCATCTCCCTGGGTGGGCGTGAATGACCATCACATTTAAAACTGCGATTTGTGAGAGACGCACGTCACAAGAGCATACAGTGCCGTCAACAGTTATGCCATCCATGAAAACCATCACATATTAGAAAGCATTTGACAGACATGTAGCAAAGCCATAGAAACTGTGATCTTCAAATCCCTTGAAAAGTCTTAGAGACTAAATTAAAGAAATGAGGATTGTGGAGTTTCACTTCTGAAATTTTCATTTAAGCCCCACATTCAGACCATTGCTCATTACTGCTTTGATTAACTGTGGCCCAAGGAGCTAAGGCCCGGATTTGAGCTTGAGGAGTCTTGAGGAGGCAAAAGGGGTGGGGATTGGGCGCAGCCAGGGAAGGACTGGAAGATTGGCAAGGAGGTTTGTTGGGGGGGTGGGGCCTGGAGGGGGGAGGAGCCTGGGAGGGGGAGGGGACAGGCAGAGGGCCCCCACAGGTACCCTTCCAATATGATGATTTAAACACAAGACCTTTTGATATTTTTTTAAACCCCAACCCACCTGCAGAGGGTCTTACCTTTGAGCCTCTTGGCCCTCAGCTAAAGCTGCTTGAAAAGATTCACATGCAAACATTTATATTTTTCAAAAGTCATAGTCAGTTTTACCACATTTTGGCCACACACTTAAAATACACTCGGAGCATTTTTTTTTTAAGTTTTATTTTAATTGCATTTCAAACACAAGCCGCCAGTTGACTCCCAAGTCACAACCCCTCTTTTAAGCCAAGCCCCTCCTACTGCACTGGGGTGAAAGTGTAAATGATTGGCTTACCTCGCGCTCGTCCCTAGGGGAAAAAAATTATCTCACTTTGTCAAAGCACAGCCACGCCCACGCCCGGAACCAGCCCCGCACGCGCGGCTTGGACCCAGCGCTGCCTGCAGCAGGTTTGCGTGGTTTCCCCTCCCGCCTCCCTCCGCGCCCCCGCCAGGTGAGCCGGGTGTGCGCAGAACACCGAGCGTCTGCGCGCAGACCCCGCGCCCCAGATACCTGAGTGCCTGGTTTTTCAACCGTAAAGGCGGGAGGGTTTGGCGAACGAATGAGGAGTGAGGAAACGCTTAGCGCAAAGGGAAAAAAGAGAGAAAGACACACAGGAAAAAAAGGTTATGGAGGCCGGCGGGAGGCGGCCCCTCTCCCTCCAGCCAGGGGCCGACACGTTACCCAAGACGTCCCACCACTGTGTCTCCGCGGTCTCCGCGCCGCCTGCCGCAGAGCGCCGGCTCCCAGGTGCCGCCCGGGTGTGCGGGCTCCGAAAGTTTTTGCCCGCGCCATGGCGCACAACGCAAGACAGCCAGCTCCCCGATATAAATACGCAGTCGGCGGGTAGTTTGGGGGTGCCAGGGTTACACTTGAGCATGTCATGCACAGGCGGACACAATATGGACACCAACACACACCAACAAGAAGCCGGCCGAGTCCAAGCAGCCGTGCCAGGCGAGGCGGGGGGCGCACGTTCCCCAACGACCCCCGCCCACCATGGCCCCAACCAGCTTAGCCGGGGGGAACCCCGAGGTCCCTCCCCGGCAGTTCCTGGCTCACCTGAGGCCCCCGCCTTCCTGGCTGTCCCCCACCCCAGGACACGGGGTCGTCTTTTGGTCGCTGGTGCTGGTTTGTCCAGCTGGAAACGACCCTCAGTGTTGTACGGCACCACTTTGCTCCCTGGGGGGTATATACTTCGACCACCCAAGCCCCCCAGCGGCCCCCCGACCCACTCCCCAGGCAAAGTTGGGGCCCCTCACTGGAACTTCCTAGCAGGCTCTTCCGGCCTTTGCCCAGACACCCTCCTCCCGCCGCCAGGCCCCGGGCCCCACCGGGCAGCCCTTCCCCCCCTCCCGGGTCCCCCGCGGCCCTGCTCCCCACGGGCAGAGCCCGCCGCGTTACCTAGAAGCAGCAGGCGGTGCGAACACATGTAGCCCATCTTCTCGCCCCGGAGCTGCTTGTCGATGAGGCTGCTGCGCTTCTGGTCGGCGCGCCTCTGAGCGCGCTGCTCCCTGGGTTCCTTGCGCTTGTGCTTGCGCTTCTCGCCCAGAGGAGCCTTCCTGACCTTGGGGCTGCCCTGCGCGGCTCTGGGCTCGGGGCTCTCGGACCGGCCGAAGCAGCCGGTGAAAGCTTGCACGAGGAAGTTGCGGAGCAAGTTACGCTGCGGCTTTCGGCGGCGGCGACCTCGCCGGGACAGGAAGCACTGCGAGCATCCGAAGGTCCCATCGTCGGATTCGTCGCTGCTGCTGACCGACCCTTCGTCGTCGTAGTCGCGGCCGCGCTCCGACCTGCCCCGCCAAGCATACGCGCGCGGAGGCTGCGGAGCAGGCAGATCGGCAACCTGGATCTCGGGGCTGGGGGGTCTGAGGGTACGTATGAGCTTAGGGCGGGCTCCGGAGCCAGGGGCTGCCCAGGCGACAGGCGCGGCTGAGGCTGCCCGGGCAGCAAGCACGGCTGGGGTGGCTGGGGTGGCCCCAGAGGATGAGACACTGGAAGTAGTAACGGCTGCCCGGGCGGCAATGGCTGCCCGGGCGGCAATGGCAGCCCGGGCGGCAGGGACTGCCCGGGCGGCAAGGATCGCCCGGGAGGCAGGGATTGCCCAGGAGGAATGGGCTGCCCAGGAGGCAGGGACCGCCCGGGCGGCAGGGACCGCCCTGGCGGCAGGGGCTGCCCGGGCGGCAGGGGCTGCTCCGGTGGCTGGGGCGGCTGGGGCGGCTGGGGCGGCTGGGGCAGCTGGGGCGGCTGGGGCGTCTGGAGCGGCCCCGGCTTCTGGAGCGGCTCCGGCTTCTGGAGCGGTCCCGGCTTCTGGAGCGGTCCCGGCGGCGTCTGGAGTGGCCCCGGCGGCGTCTGGGGCAGCCCCGGCGTCTGGAGCGGCCCCGGCGGCTTCTGGAGCGGCCCCGGCGGCGTCTGGAGCGGCCCCGGCGTCTGGAGCGGCCCCTGCGGCAGGAGCTCCATCTCCCGGAGAGGGGACTTGGCGTCCCTCCGCGGCCGCGGCGGCTGAGTTGGCTGAGCTTCCTTCCATCTCGGCTGCTTCGCCCTCGACTGGGGGTCTCTCTCCCTCTGCTTGCTCTCTCTTAACTGGGGCTCTGGAGACCTCGATGGGCGGGCCGTCAAGCGCGATTGGGGGGCTGTCCATGTTGACGGGAGCGTCGTGGACCCCAGTGGGGGCGCTGCCGATCTCGCGCTGGGGTCCGGAGATCTCCATTGGGGGGCTGCCGCCCACGAAGTGTGGAGTAGGTCTGACAGCCTCTCGAGCTGCGCTGCCGATGGCGCCGCGGACCCAGAGGGGGGGCTCGTTCGCGGTGGGAGTGAGGAGGACCGCACTCGGCCCCGCAGCTGCCGCGAACCCGCCGCCGTGGCTGTGGTCGGTTTGTGGGTGAGCTCCGGGGAGCCCAGGGGGTGGGCTGTCGTCCCCAAAGGCCGCTCCATCAAACTCAAATGGCATAGCCTCCTCAGGGGGAGGGCTGCCTCCTCTGAAGCCGGCGCTGGCAGGTCTGAGGGCGCCGGGCTCCTCCGGGGGGGCGCTCCAGACCCCCACCCCGGGGCCCCCTGGAGCCGCGTCTGAGGCCTGCAAGGGAGGCTGGCTGTGGTCTGCCTGGGCCGGCCGCTCCCACTCGTAGGGCATGGCTTCTTCGGGGGGAGGGCTGTAGCTTCCCGGGCCCGGCCTGGCCCCCCCGAGTGCTCTGGGCTCCACGAGCACCGGGCTGAGAGCCTGGAGGCCTGCGGGGGCCACGCTGGTGTCTCCAGGCTGCCCCAGGGTCGGCCAGAAGCCTCTGGGGCCGGGCTGCTCGACCTCGAAGGGCATGGCTTCCTCAGGGGGTGGGCTGTAGCCCCCACGAGCTCTGACTTCCTCCCTGCCTTCTCCCAGGCCCTGGAAGCTGGGCCTGGGGACTTCTGGGGGTCCACAGGCCTCGCCTTCACTCTCGACGGGGATGGGCTCGCTGGGAGGCGGTGGGGCCTCCATCTCTTCGGCTGCGCTAGGCCCAGCACTGGGGGCAGCTGCCCCCGGGGCCTCCACGGCTGGCTGCTCCTCGGGCTGTCCCCCGAGTTCAAGGGGGATATCGCGTTGTCCTGACATATCGTTGCCGTCGAGGCGGTCGCACACGCCCATAACACGGTGGCGGACTCTTAAAATAAACTTGGGGCTCCGGAAGACGGAGCACCCAGCCAAACTAGGGTGAAGAAAATATTTTCCAAGAAAAAAAATCAAAGTACCAGCGAGAAAGTTCTCCAACCTCACTTGTCAGCCCTTGCGAGGTCTCAGGGGTCAGGGCCTCCAGCCGGAGACTGTGGCAGAACCGCCTCTGTCGTTGCTGGTGGAGTCTTATCTCCTTCCTGGCCACTTTTTATGCCCTCAGGCTGCCCCTGGCGCCCCCCCACCCCCTTGGCTGGCCTTGTTCCCTTCTCTCTCTGTCTCTGTCTGTCTCTGTCCTCCAGGCCAGCCCCGCCTGCTTGGATCTGAGGAGCGTGTCGATTCGGTCCGAAAATCGCTCGTAGTGCTCTCTTTCCGCCACCAGGGGACGCCGGCCGGGTGCCCAGGCGGCTGCGGGAGCCGGTTTCTGTCTGCGGAAGCCCTGGACTTTGGGTAAGGGGGCGATGAGCGCAGGTCTCGCAGGGACGTTTTAGCTCCTTCCAGTCCTCTCTCTGACTGATTGGGAGCCTTCCCTCCTCTCTGCTCCCCTGGCCAGAGAGAGAGAGAGCTCTCCTGCGTTGCGGGACACGTGACGCAAGACGTGGGCCCTGGGCGGCATGAGCGCAGGAACTGGAACCCTCCCTCCCAGACACAACAGACTCTCCCCGGGGGGGAGGAGGGCTGCGTGAAGGTTTCTTCACCTCAAAGGACCCGTGAATCCAAGGGTCGCATCCCCCACCCCTGGGAAGCCTTCCATCCCGAGCCCCTAGTCCGGAGCGCAAGGCTTTGGGCGCGTGGGAAGGGGGCGAGGGCACGCGCGAGAATGCGACAGGTGGTCGTGAGCCCACCAGCGGAGACGAGGTAGCGAGGGGCGAGGGGATGGCGAGTGTGCGCGCACAGTTTTTTTAAACGCCTTGGGGTGCTTTCCACCGCTTCTGCGGCATTCGTTTGCCGGCTTGCCAAGGCCGACTGGGGAAAGCACTTCACGTCCCCCATCCCCACCAGCGCCCTGGGGAGGGGGCGTCTTCGCAGTGGCTGAGGGCAACGCAGGCCGGGTTCTCCCCCATTTACGTGGACAAATGATTCAGGGAATAAAAGGGTCTCGGGCACGTACCACGGAGACCTTCTAAACGGGAGCCGCGGCAGCACAAAACGGGGGGCGCGGAATGCGCACGGGGACCCCACAGAGTGCAGGCCTGAGTTCCAGGGGTCCTACCGCTGTGCGGAAGGGTTAGAGCGGATTTCAGTTGGGATTTATGGCCGATTTACTGTGGTTTCAGAGATTGGTCAACCCTGTGCGCACCGAACCCAAAGACACACATCGTGCCGTGCCGTGCCGAGCCGAGCCGCGCCGCGCCGGCAACAGCTGCCGCGATGCGCGGCTGCCTGCCTCGGGTGCCGGCCGCAGGGTCGGTCAGCCAGATCCTTCCTCTGGCTCCTCTCCAGCCCCTCTCCAGCCCGCGTCCAGCCCCTCTCCTCTCATTACGGGAATCTCCAGGTAGCCGCTTTTACTTTCCAACCGCCAGAGCCCGCCGAGGCGCCCCTAAGCCCGGTCAAAAAAACCACGAGCCGCCAACTGTGCTCCCGTCTCCACGGCGCGTGGTGGGCTCAGAGCTCGCGGGGCGGGGGTCAGTACCACACTGCCTGGGCAGGCTCCGCGCATGTGCGCGTACTGGTCTGGCTCTGGGGTCTGCGCTGGGATCCGAGACCCGGGGAAATTTTGCTGCTTGCAGATCACGTAAAACCCGGGACACGGGCACCAGGTCTCTCTTGTCAGAGGGTGACACGGGCTTGCGAGCCACCTTTAGGTTCAGGTGCAAGGCGGCTGGGCAGGGGAAAAGGGCTCCCCTGGCTTGCGGGCGGGGAAGGGGCGGCGGGAGGAGGGGAACACAAGGTGGGCTGCGTGCGGCAAGCGAGGCGCGTCGCGGCATCAGCGAGCCGCGGCAGCAGCGAGCCGCGGGCGGGCGGGCGAACCACTCGCAACCCACTCTCATCCAGTCTGACGCTTCCCTTGCAGAATGAGAAGACCGCAGCCCCGGCGCAGCCCTGCCCCCGCCGCTGTCACCGGTGCTGCCGCGCTGCGCGGAGGACAGCCGACCGAGTCTCACCCTGAGTGACGCTTGGGGTCCCCCAAAGGGGTATCATCTCGGCTCTGTGAGTCTACACACTTCCAAATGCCAACACGAAACTTTCGCTCAAACTTTGGCCAACTACCTGCACGCGCAATGGTTCAACCATCCGAGCATCCACTCAACGTGCCAACTAGGTCCCAACAGACAACTCGCTCCCCTCCGACCCCAGGGCTGGGTCAGCCATTGGGCTGGGGTCACGCCAATCAAGGCTGGTTGGCGAATGAGCAGGGGGCATCGGACCGGAAACCGGATGTGAGTGGGCGGTCCAACAGGGGGCGCCGTGTTGGAACGCCCTAAGAGGTTGTGCTGTTGGGGTGTTTGGAAATCAGTTGGGGCGTGGGCGTAGGGCACTCAGACCCCGGGCACCGCGAGGCCGGCTGGCACCGTTGGGTCACTTTAACTGACCCCAAAACTCACAAGGTGGTCGGGCGCTCCCAGGGGCCAACCCCAGATCTCCCCGATGGCGGTGGGCAAACACACCCCACCCAGGGGACCACTGCTGGGGCGAGAACAGAGATGTCCAGGGCCTGGAAGGAGAAGGCCAGGACCCCGAGGGAAGAGAGGGCTCACCGCCCTGGTGCAGATGAGCAGCCCCCCCGATGTATAAGGAGTTGAGGCCCCGGGGATGCTGAGCTCTGCCGAAGTGCAAGGTCAGTAGACGCTGGGGGCTGCGCCCCAGCGAGGCCGGGCCGCGATGGGGCCCAAAGGGACGGTTGCGCTCGCCAGGCCTCGCGCCTTGCCCAGACACGGTTTACCAGGCAGGGGGTAGGGGTCCCTTTGTCTGACACGCCAGCGGGCCGGTGGGCCGCCTTTGTTCTACCCTCCTTCTGGAGAGCACCTGCTTTGAGGGGCGAGGACTGGGCGAGCTACATTGTAAAGGGGAGGCAGCCCAGAGATGCAAGAACTCCGATCGGGCGGACCCTGAGAGTCGTGGCGGAGACAATGGCCGTTCAAAAGGGCTTCCTCCCATGGAGGGACAGGGGGCTGGACGGCGAATAGGAGGTGGGGGATGGGAGGTGTTGGCCCGGGAGGGGCGAAGATGGTGGCACACGTGGTACAGGGCTGGGGAGGGAGCAGGCCACGGAGCAGTGGGAGAGAAGGCAGGAAAAACTAGATGGGGTCCCTCGCAGGACACCAGGACTGTCGGGACAAGCGGTTCTGGGGCTATTTGGGGAGGAAATGGCGGTGGCGTGGTCTTCTCTGTTGCCCGGTGGGTGCAGAGTTGAGGCCGGCGTTAGGACCGGTCGGGGCGGTGTGGAGCGGCTCCCGGAGGACACAAGGGGCGGAGGCCTAGCCCGGGGAAGGACGCAGGAAGGCAGAAAGAAGGACCCTCTAGCAACTTTGGTGCTAAAATGGCATAGAAGGCGGCAGAGCCAACATCCGGCACTTGGATGATGGAGTAGAAGCGGAAAGGGAGGTTGGGAGGAGCTGACCCGGAGGCGGAGCCACGCGGGTTTGATGGGCAGCGGTGAAGGATGGGCAGTCTGCGTGGAGGTTTTTGCAGGCCGAGGTTTAGAAGCAAGGGGAAGGCCCCAGATTCAAAGTGACACTCATCCTTATTGGCGCATGAGTTGGCTGGATCAGAAAATACCCTCCAGGGGAGAGATACACTTGGTGCCAGAATCTTGAACCCTTGGAGAAGGGAAGGGAGCCAGGCAGGGGGGCGCGGGGGGCCGGGGAGGAGGAGAACGGTCGGCTCCGCTAACCTGCGTGGCGTTTCCTTAGCCTCCGCACCGCTGGCGTTCGGGGCCGGTCCTCTGTGGCGGGGCTGCCTGTGCAGTGCAGGATGCTGCGCAGCATCCTAGCCTCTACCCACTAGATGCCAGCAGCAGCCCCTTAGTTGCAGCAGCGAGGAATGTCTCCCGACTTCGCTGAACGTCCTCTGGAGGGCAAGACTGCCCCCCGCCCCACGCCGAAGCCACTGCGATGGGCCGAGCCGGGACCTTAGCTCCGAGTGGAATCACCCTAATTTAAAGGTTAATGAGGACCCGTAAGAAAAACTCCAGTGTTTAACTCTGGCGTTCCCCTTTTTTGTCCACTTGTGCACGTGCTTCTGTAGTGACTGGCCGCCGGAGTCTGAACACCCCAGATCGCCTGGGTGAGCGGGGCTCCGAGCTGCAACTCCACCACAGACGCGCGCCGGGACCCCAGATGTGAGTGTGGCTGGGTGCTGGAGGGGTGCACTGACCCGAAGGGCAGCCGGGTGGCCTGGCCGTGGGGACCCGAGGAGCCTCTTATGGTGACAGCTGGGGGTGATGCGTGGGTGGGCCGACTAGGGGCCACCCTGATTGGTGCGACCGTCCGGTGAGCCTGCGCAGGGCCGGTGATCTTACTGGCTTAAGACGGAAGTGTGGTGTTGCCTTGGCCGGACGGGGCCAGTGGTGACCGGAAGTGCGCAGCCCAGTCCCGCACCCCCATCCCCCATCCCCCATCCCCCGTGGGGGCATGGTGTTTAGGGTCTGCTGTTGTGGTTTTCTAACGGCAAAGGCCCTGGAGCACGGATTTCCAGCTCGCTCCTGCTGTGTAGGAGCGAGAAGGAAGGAGGGAGGGAAGTCCGCAGCTGCGGGCAGGGCGGGTCGGGCAGGGCCGCTGGAGGCGGTGGAGCAGGGGGGAAGTGGGGAAGGACCGAAGCCGTGTGCCGGGGCCTGGACCCTGTCCCTACGGGACTGTGGACCCCGGGGGGCTGCAGTGAGACTCGGTGTCTTCCAAAGCCAGGGGAGGGTCTCTGAGAAAGCAGCAGTTTCCTGCAGGGGACACACCAGGACCGGGACGGGACGCGGCACCGCGTCTCAGGGGAACCGCACTTCTGGGGAGAGGCAGCCTGTTCAGACCAAACGGCCCGGGTGCTGTGGGTAGCAAATCCGCTGGCTTTTTTGTAAACAGCTAACCGCGCTGCAAAGGAGATACTCCTTCAGGGTGGCCCTGAACAGTGCCCCTGCCCCTGCAGAGATGTGGTCCCGTCCCTGGGGGCCCGGCGTGTTACCCTGGGCTTCCCAAAGCCAGTCTTAGCCCTACACCGACGCCGCCACGCCAGCACGTAGAATCAACAAATGGTCGACACACCATTACACTGGGGGATTCTTACTGCCAAACGCACAGACACTCCAGATTGTGAGTAGCTGCCTGTCAGCCTCCTCTGTTAGCTCATCCCTGCGTCCCCGGAAGCCCCAGCCCAGCCGAGGAGAGGAGGGTCCTCTGGCGCCGGGGGTGGGCTGGGGGAAGGAGCAGAGAGCAGGAAAGCCGGGCCTTTCTGTGGGCGGCCCTCCCCCCTGCTGCGGCCCCGGGGGCGGCACTGCAGAGCAGCCTCTGCAGCCCAGGCCTGTCATTACTTGTCAGTGGGTTTCTCTCAAACGAGGGAAAGGAGGGTCTTCCTACCAGTTTCGAGGAAATAGCAAAAGGGAGGGGACACCGGGAAGAGGGCCGAGACCACTGTGCTGCTTCTCAGCCTCCCAGTGACAAATGGTTTCTGAGTGCTGACTGAGTAGCAATAAGACTTGAAGCCGTTCAATTAATTACTGTTGAGCCGCGATGCACCGCACCCTCCTGCCTCCCGGCGTCTCCTGTGCCAGCCTCGGCCGACGGAGGCAGCAGCAGCCCACTGCTGCCTGCAGAGGGGTCTGCGGGGCCGGGCTGTCGCGGGCTAATAATGCCTGGGGAAGTGGGGGTGCCTCTGAGGGGGAAGGGTCAGGAGCAGAGGCGGCGCTGACACTGAAGACAGTGGGACCCAGGCCTGGGGGAACACTGCATGTGCCAGGGTCCCCCACGGTGCAGCCAGCACCCCTCCAGAGCTTGCTGGCTGTGCTTGGCCCTCGTCTGGGAGGGCTGCCCAGCGCTGCTGCGGCCGCGCGGTGGGCCCAGACAGCCCCCAGCCGGCGTGCCCCTCCTCCAGGTTCACTGGTGATGCAGCAGGGAATTCTGGGGGGAGAAGTGGCCATTCCAGAAAAGACAGACAGCACCCAAGGACGGGAGCTGATCGAGGGGTGACGTGGGGGCTGGGGTGCCGAGAGGGAATCCCGGAAGACGACTTTGGCTTTAGTGGAAGCTCTGTGTAAAATTTCCGTAATTCACGGTGGAAATTCCAGGCCCCCTGGGGGCTTCTGGCCAATGCATCCGAGGGGAACAGTGTATTTCACCTCGCCCAGGGCCCCGGTCCCCCCGGGCGAGCGTCCTTAAGGAAATCTAATTGACACAGCCATGTGAGCCAGACGCTCCGAGACCAGCTCTCGCCTGGGGGGTGGGGGCGGGGGGGGGCGGGAGACTTGTCTTCAGGTGCTGGCAGCTCTGGGCCCTGCGCCCCTCACACCCCTCAAGTTGAACGTCGGGGCCCCTCCCTGAACCAAAACCCAAGATTTAGGATTTGGACTACAAAACACGATTTCCTAAGGCGCAAGTCTTTCTGTTCGGTGGAAGCGAGTGAGATGCATGTATGGGGGCTCCACTGCACCTGTGGGGTGGGAACTTCTGGGCCAGGTCTGCAAGAGCCCGGGGGAGGGGTGGTGGGGGGAGCAAGGTCAAGGGTGGTGCATCTGAGCTCTCGCTGCCAGTGGCCCTCCACTGCTGTCTCTGCTGTCAGAATGCTGTTGAAGACTGCCAAAGACTGCCACTCAGTGTCCCCTAAACCCCTCTTCATTTCTTCAGAGTACGCTGTGTGGCCCGGACACCCACAGGCTCCGTGACGGCCGTCTCCGGTTGTCCCCTTCCCTCCCCGGTGGTGGCATCTCCCCGCACCTTCCCGGGTGGTCTCTTACCCCCCAAACTTCACACCTAAGCCTTCTGCCACCCTCAGCTCTGCCCCCACTCTGCGGCCTCCTGTCCCCTGCCCACGCAGCGCCATCTCCCTTATTTATTCACTCCAGCCTTTCTGATCCCCGTACCCACCCGTCACCGTGTAGCGTGCGCACCCTCAAATAAGCCCCCGGGGTGAACACTGGCCACGCCCACACACTGGCCGGAGCGCAGCCTCCCAGGAGCAGGGGGCTGGCCTGGCGGGCTGGGGCGGGGCTCCTGCCTGTGCAGTCTGAGCCCGGGCAACGGGTGACTGGGGCCCGGGGCCTTGGGGGAACCGAGTCACCGGGCTGTCGAGTTCACCAGGCGCCACCAGCACCAGCCTCTGCGCTGGGGGCTTTGGGGAAAACCAAAACCAAATCCATCGAAAAGGGGGAAGCAGACATCAGTAAAATTCACCTTCTGTGTACAGGAGGGGCCTTGTATGGTGGGGCCAAAAAAAAAAGGTTAAATGTAAAACAGAAATGAGATGTTAAATCACTGGATTTGACAGAAGCCAGTTCTGTTTTCCAAACATTTGCTCTGCTGCCGTGTCCACGCGTTCACAATAGAGGCGATGACGTTCGGGGGCGGGCAGAACCTCTGAGTCACTCGGGGCCCTGCGGCGCGGAGCCGTACCCCAGCACGCCGCGCGTCCGGCCACCAGCCTGCACCGGAGGGGTGCAGCTAAGGAAAAAACGTCCCGAAGGGCTCCTGGGAGGGAGTGACGATGAGAGAAAAGGAGGGCTGAGAAAATCGGTTTACCCTAACTAGCTGCGGCTTCTGAGCCGCTTCTTCCAGGCCCGGCCCAGTCGGGACACGTGCAGGTGTCACCGAAGACACTCAGCATTCGTGGTCAGCGCCGCGGGCTGCCTGCTGGACGTGTGCCCCCCCCCCCCCCCGCCAGCTTGTTCTCATGAAGGAAGAGCAGAGGGCGCCAGCACCCCCGAGACCAGCTCCGCCCACCGGCCCATTTCCCTCCCAGGTGAATGCGTCCCAGGGCGCAGTGGGATTCTGTATTCTCAAACGAACGGGCCTCCTGAAATCATTTTGCCACCAATTTCACACCAGATTTGCCAAACTCAGATTAGATCAACACAAACCAGGTTTCTTCACGACTGGTGCTTTTGACCTGATCAAGCTTTGAAAAGTGTTTTGGCTCCATTCGTGTTAAAATTATTGAAACCAAACTCTGGGTTTCTTACAGGACCCAGCCTGCAGGCCTGTAGAGCTGAAAGGCATGCTGGGAATACCCCATGCAGCCACTTCGTGTTCCATGTGGAGAAACTGAGGCAGAGGCTGCTGGGCAGGCAGGAACTAGAAGGTCCTTAGACCTGACGTTCTGCTGCCCGTCTCTGGGCGTCAAGATTCAGAAAGTCACTGACCCTGCAGAGCAGGGCGGGGGTTCCACTCCCCATTCTGGAGCTCGGGGACTACAGGTGTCATTTGAGACTCGTCCCCTGTGCTGGACTATGACATCACTCCCTGCTGGGAGCTGCACCTGACTTTAGGATTGTTTCTTGTTCTAGGTCACCTTTCTGTTAAAGAGACAGACTCCCCCCGCCCCACCAGGGTCTCCACTCGGTCTCCTCTGCATAGGCCTGAAGAGCAGCAGCGATGCAAACCCCCGCAGAGGCTTTGAGAGAAGACCTCACTCTCACCGACACTGACGTCTCAGCTCTCCATTAACCCTGTATGTAGCACAGCTGCTGAGGCTGGGGCCGGGGGTGGGGGCACCTCGGGTTCCCTCAAGACACATGATCTCAGACAAGTCCAAACTTTAACATTTCCAGTGCTTCAATTCTGATAAATATTAATTCAGAGTTTGCCAAAATGTAGCAGCACGCGCACTGCAGACTGTCGGCCACACAGTAGTACTTGAACATGGCTGCGTGGTCTTCCACGTGGGCCGTCCGGCTGCAAGAGCAGCTCTGGCCAAGGAAAAGCAAGTTCCCACTGAGCAAATGGTTAAAGGAGTAAAGGGCAAACCCCTGAATGCTGGCACACATCATCACGTTTAACTAACTTCATTCTCCTCTTCCTCTCTGTCTCTGCGTTTGAAATACCGTGAAATACTTGAGATGTTCACCTCTGTGGTCAGCAGATCAAGTCTGCCTTTCTGGAGGATTCCCTCACCAGACCCAACTACATCCAGGCTGACCAGCTGGCGAGCCGATTCAAATGCTAACTTCAGCTTAGCAGGTGAGACAAAGGGCCGGTGGGCCGACTGGGGAGCTGGGAATGCTTGGAGAGCGTGCCGGAGACGTCTCTGGAAAGGGAAGGCAGGTGAACCTGGGTGCCTCGGGCAGAAGAGGGTTGGGGGTGTCTGTGTTGCAAAGCCCCCCTCCTCAGGCGGGCCCGGGCACTTCCCTGGGGGTCTGGCGCGGCCCCAGGTTGTTCCGTGCGCAGCCTGATGAACCTGGAGCCCAGGAGCAGGATGGAAGGAGGAAGTGGGGGAGGGGAGGAGTGTGGGGGTGGGCAGCAGGTTTTCCCCATCAGTTAGTTTGCAGGTGAGCGCGGCTGAAAGATGGCAAACTCGGTGTGTGTTCCTAGGTGCCCCTCCCCCCTCAGTGAGCCTGTATACTGGTTCAAGTTGCTGTAGCCAGCCCCCTGTGCAGACTCGGGTGAGGGGCATGGGCAAGGCACTGAGGACTTTTTAAAGAACTTGCTTATTCACCCCGCAACGAGGCAACAGGCTAATGTCTCTGGAGAAAAACCCTACCTCTGCAGAAAAACTGGTGCAAGGTGCCCCGATCTGTGAAAGTAGCCCCCCACACTGAAAAGCAGCCCCCAAGCCCCACCGGAACCCCAGCTGCCTCTGCCCGGTCACTGGGGAGCTCAGGCTTTGCCCGAGGGAAAACGGCGCTCAGCCACAGGGAGGAACTCAGCGTCACCGTAAGCAGCAATTCCAACTTTGGGGAGCTTCGCTCCACGCAGCAGTCGCACACTTTCAAGTCCCCGGCAGGGCGCGGCGCGCCTAAGCCTCCGGCAAGTCCGGAGCAGCCTCGGGACTGACGACACTTCCACCCCGCCCGGGGAAGCCCCTGGCCGGCGAGCCGCCGCGGAGCCTTTGCACACCGGGTGTTTACAAGCGGAAACCACAGCCGCGTGCGGGCACTCAGTAGTCATCCGCCCGAGCCGCGCGCGCGCAACTTAGTCCCGGGGCGCAGCGCCGCCTCCCCGAGGGAGGAGACCTGGAAGGCCGTTTCAAGTTCTGTTCCGTCTGGCTGCCGCCTTCTCTTAGGGTCCTGAGGGCCCGGCTGTCTTCCCGAGCCTCGGGACGCTTCACCTGCCCGCCGAGTCATTCTCGGGATGGTTCAAACCCCGCCAAAACGAGACGCGCGCGCGCCAAGATCGATTTCCAAATCGGGAGAGGTTTTGTAAATATGTTTCACTTATCCGTCTCTCCCCCCTGGACCGGCGAGAAAGGCGCACTTTGCGCACCGACGCCGCGTTACCGGGCTGCAGCCGGTTTGGTGTTCGGACGCGGGCAGTTTCACCGCCGCATCACCGACTCCAAACTCGGCTCCGCCCGGGCTGAAAATGGCCGGTGAGCGCCGCCTCCCCGCCCCGAGGCTGCCCAGGCGGCCGGCCCCTACCCCCTCTCCGCCGCTCGCCCCAAGACTTGCGTTGGCTCCAAAACCTTTCCCCAGCTCCGCGGGTGCCGCACTTTTTGAGGACCCTGTGTAGGGTGTCCTGACGACCTACATGCCCCCTCTGCAGCCCACTTCTCGTTCTGCTTTACCTTTCCGTGCGCGAACACCTCGCGGGTCTCTCAGCCCTCTCTCTCACCAGCAGGGCGTTGCGCAAACAGCCCGGGACCTCTCCAGCCGGCTGCACCCAGCTCTGCCGCCGGAACAGCTGCGCCGAAAGGTTGGAGAAACCCGGACACAACGTGACCAAGCCCGCGGCACCAACCCCGGCAGCCCTAGAGGCACCCCGGAGACTCCCACACCTCCTCTGCCTGCCCTCCAAGTACCGGTAACCTTAGGGAACCGCCTGGGGCTCTGAGAGGTCGGTTCTAGGGTGCGCGCGGGCAGGTGCGCACGCTCTTTGCGGCAGTCTCGGCCCCGCCAGCGCCGGGAGACTGGTGGCGGCCGGGACTGGCGCACAGCCGCGTGGGGCACCGGCACCCGGGATCCCGAGGCTCCCGATTGGAAGCGCCGGGACTTGGGCTCCAGGCTCTGAGGGTCTTAAGCGCCTCGCGCGACTTGCCCCAGAGCCAGCTGTCTCCGGAGTTCTCGCCCAATGCCGGTCTGATTACTTTTCGCACATTGCAACAGTGTCGCTACAGCGCGGCTGCTGCGGCTCCGTGAAAGTTGGCGCGCACACTTCCAAACCACATTTCAGGCACCTGCTAAAGCCAACTTGTTTGAGACCAGCCTCCTCCAGGAGGGAAAAAAAGTGCAGAAAACAACCGACTTACCTGTGCGTGTGGGGCGTCCAGTCGGAAATCTGGGGCATGTCCAGGATTCAGTTGTGTGTCCTGGGCACCAGCTCGGGGACCTCAGGCTGTCTCCAGCGGGGTGCGAGGAGCCCCCCGCCGTCCAACAAGCCTTTGGCCACCCGGCTGCCCTCCGGCGCACTGGGGTGATTTGGGGAGCCCTTCTGGGCTCGCCCTGGCCCCTCACTTCCCGGCTGGCTAGCTGTGCCCACTGTCCTCCCACCTTCCTCCTGACCTGCCTTCCCTCCTCTTTCCCTGCCGCCCGCAGCTCCCGCACCGACCCCAGCCTCCCCACTTTCGCGGTGGGCAGCTCACCTGAATCAAAGAAAACGAGGAGAATCTGGACCGAGTCCTCCATCAGTGGCGCCGGATGGGGATGGGCCCCCTCTTGGAAGGGGACTCCGGGGACGGGTCTCGGCGGGTGGGCTTCTTGGGCTTGCAGCGGCGCTGCTGCGGCTTCTCCCTTTTTGGTTCCGCAGACTCTTCGGGGCCCCTGCGAGCCTTGTCCTCGGGCTGGGGCTCCCGGGTGCTGGGCTGCGCGCGGCTCGGGGAGGCGTCGGGGCTCCGCAGCCTCAGAGCGTACAGGCGCTCGGTGAGCGACTGGCCGAAGGTGCTCTGCTTGGGCGCCGCGGGGCCGCGCTCGTCCTCGGGCTCGGTCTCGGGCTCGGTGGTGGGGGCGGTCTCCGTCTCGGTGTCGAAGTCGAAGTCCGAGTCAAAGTCGGACTCGGACTCGGACTGGTAGTCGAAGTCTTCCTCGTAATCCGGGCACCCGGGGAGGGGCAGGGCTCGGGCTGCCCCCTCCGGCTCGGGCACGGCCTCGGGGGGCTCGGGGAGCACCTGGGTGGCGGAGCGGTGGTGGGCGTTGAGAAAGCTCCGGCGCTGCTGGGTGGCCGCGCGCTGGTGGGCGCGGGTGCTGGAGGTGGCGAGGGCGCGTAGCAGCGCGATGGAGCAGGAGAGCCAGAGGAGCGCGGTGGCGGCCCGGCGGCCGATGGAGGGGCACAGGTCGCCGTAGTTGTGGCGAGCTCGGCGCCACTGCTGAGCCCGGAACCGGCGATCCATCTCCTGGGCGCGCACCGGGAGGCCGGCCCGCTGCCCTCTGGCTCTGCGGAGAGCGGCTCCGGCGCGCAGGGGCTGCTGGAGCCGAAGGAGGCGCGCCTCGCAAGGAGAGAAGCTGGGTCCGGAGGTCCGGGCCCCCCTCGCTGGGAGGACTCAACTTTCTGGAGCTCCGCGCCGCTGCCGCCCGTGTGCGAGGAAGGAGGGGACGGGGAGAGGAGAGGGGACGCCGCCTGCTCGCGGGCTCCTCTCTCGCAGTCTCCGACTCGGGAGAGCTGCCCGGCCGGTCCTCTCGCCTGGGAGAGGACAGAGGAGACTGAGGCGAGGGGAGACGACGACGGGAGAGGCGCTGCAAAGTTGCGCGCCAGGACTTCTGCGGTGAGGAGGCGGGGGCGCCTCCCAGCGAGCTGCGCAGCGGCGGCCGCGAGCCGGTGGCGCAGACCCTAGTGGGCCGGCAGGTGGCAGGAGGGAACCTTGTTTGAAAGGATTTTGGCTGAGCGAGGGGCGGGGGGCCTGGCGGGTGCCAGGGAGCCGGGGAGCGAGCCACAGGTTGGAGTCCTTGGGCACCGGGCGGGCGTCGCGCGGGTGCCCCGTGGGCCCAGACCCCTCGCCACCCTCTGCAGCGTGGTGTCCTTCAAGTGGACAACGGGAGCAGCAGCTCAGACCAGACGGAACTGCAGACGTTCCGGGAAATGAGGGTCTCAACATGAGTATGAAGGACCCAGCCCTGGCAGGTTCCGAGGGCTTAATAGTTTGAGGACGGTGAGCTCGGGCCGTCATTAATCATGAAACCGCCTTTGGTAGACCCGCTCCAGTGACTATGTTCTGAGAAGTTGCCAAAAAATTCATTCCCCCCCCCACCCCCGCCTCATGCGGTCTCAACCTGCTAATTAGCTCATGGACAAATAAGCATCTTCCCTGGGAAGGGTCCCCACAGACGGGCTAGCAAGCCTGCTGGCCCGCGGGCGCGCTGCCCTGGGCGCCAGCTGGGAACAGGTGTGGGGGCGTGGCTTCGGCGCAGCCTGTCCCGCACTGATGGGCGGTAGGGACAACCGCCACCCCCAGCCCCGCACAGGCCTGTGTGTTGTGGGGGGGCGTGCCGGGGGGCTGTTCGGGGGGCAGCTAACAAGCAAACCTCGCTGGGTAGCCCTTAAGGCTCTCTCACAGGTTTTCAACAAGATTGATTAATTAATTAAACAGATATTTACTGAGTGCTGGGCTCCACTTTAAGTGCTGAAGGTAGAACTAAGGAAAAAGGGGGCAAATGTCGGGTTAAGGAAAGGTCGTTTGGGGCTAGCCCGCGGTGAGGCGGAGCACCCAGAGTCCCTCCCCCCTTACCCGCCAACACTGTATTCCATCTTGAGTTCTGCCTGAGAAAGCGGCGGGGTCACCTAGAACATTCGGCTTAGGGGACAGCTCAGCACCCCGAAGCACCATGTTGAACCCCAAGGGCTAAAAGGTCGGAGGGAGTTCATGTGTCTCTTTGCAGCCCCGGACAGTCAGGTGAGCCCCATGTCCTCGCGGGGGGCCCTAGAGTGCCCCGGCAGGAAAGCATGGTCATTGACAAACTCGGGTGTCCCCTCTGTGACCTCTGTTCCTCCGGGGTTGTGCCTGCCCCCCTCTTAAACTAGGGAGCACCCCTTTGCCACGGTGGCAAGACCAAAGGCGGTAGAACTCAGGGCAGAGCCACCTCCTAGAGCCCACAGCCATGTCGATGAGGCCGTGGCACTCGGGACACGTAGTAGTTTGGGTGTCTTCAAGTCCACGTGGGGGAAACGTGAAGGGGCACAACCTACTAGAAGCCTGCTTTCCCCTGTGGCCCACTGGCGGTCCTCCTGGTGGCCAGGCAGTCCCGTGCCCCAGCTGTGGTCAGTGTGGGGGGGTCGCCCCCGTGCCTGGACACCGGGCCCCCTTTCAGACCAGCACACTCGGAGTCACGAGCTTGTAAGAGTCTGGCAGCAGCTTTGGGCGTGTCGCCGCTCTATTCCTTGTGTCGAGTGTTCCTGACCCGGCTCCTTGACTGTGTCTGTCTGCTGTGGGGTGTCCGTCCACGTAGCGTGGGGCGTTACCATGCTAACTGGTTTAACAAAGTGGGGTTCATCTGGCAAACCCCATAAAAAGCTACTGTCTGCATTTCAGTTGTGCTCTGTTCCAGCACTTTCCAGAGAAGCGGAAAGGGTCTGTTTTATTGTCACAGGTGCCTGGATGCCTCCGGAGGGGCATCTGGAGTCGGACACCTCCAGTCCTGAGCTCTCGGCCGAGAGGGGAACATTCTAAACGTTCTGCCCACAGTGTCCCACCTGCTTCATTGTTTCTAAGGAGCACAGCCCGTGGATGGCACACGCAACAGAAAGACACAGTTCAGGTGGTTTCAGGCACACGTGGTGCTGGTGAGCGCCCCTGGCGTGGGGACGCGCGCCAGCTGTCGGCGCCGAGGTGGGCGAAGCTTCCGCAGGGCCTGCGAGGAGGCACCGGGGCGTCAGGAGTGCCGCGTGCCTGCCGCGGAGGTGGCGGCCCAGAGCTGGCCCATGCTCACACGTACTCCGAGATGGTCTGCATTATTCAAAAAGGTGCATTACATAACAAGGACTTCTGGACTCGCTTCTGCATTACTGATGCGCGTTTTCTGTAAGATGCATTTTAAGCAGCAGACGGACTTTGCACAAGACGTTGCACCGCCCAGCCCCAGTCTCGCACGGGCAGGTCCGCCCGGTGTCTGGCGTCCGTCCACCGGGGCTCCGGGAGGAGCGGGAGGGCCGCGCCGAAGCAGTGCCGTCCAGCGCTGCGCGACGAGCTCGAGCAAAGGGATCTGTGCAGAAATGCTCTTTAAGATGCATTACGTGCGTGACTTTAAAAAGTGCTTGCTGCAGAGTGAATTTCAAAAAGGAGCGAGCGGGTGATGAACGACCTCGGGCTGTCAGCAGCCGAGGGACGGGGGCTGTGTCTGTCTGCCGGCGAACGGGGGGTGGGGTGGGGAGGGGGAGACACACGGCCCCGGCGGGGCCCCGCCGAGAGGGGCCCCAAACCTGTCGGGCAGGAAGGCGGTTTCCCGGGTCACCGTGCTGGACAGGGAGGTGCTTGTCTGGAAGAATTTGAGGGATGTCGTCTTCAGCCCCTTCGAGGATTGTCCTGTGGAAGAGGCATTAAGATGTATTTTGTGTGACTCCAGAGGCAAAATTAGAACTGACGGGTGTTGGTTACAGCAGGCAGATTTCGGCTCAGCCCGGGGAGGACTACTCGAACAGTTAGGGCTCTGAAACGGAGCGCCTGTCGGACGGTTGGCTCTTTGTCAGAAGCGGTCTTCAGTCAAAGGCCAGATGACCGCATGTTGGAGATACTTTCCGTGGGACTCACGGGCCAGGGCGGGGGAGCCGGGCGCAGTGCGGTTCCGATTCCATGAAAGGCACGCGGAGGCCCTGGGGCGGGCCGGGGGCTCCTCCGACGCCGCTGCTATTTTAGAAGCGTTGGAAGGAGCAGTGGCTCAGTGACAGGACGGAATGTTTGGGTGGCATTTCAGGACATGAGCAAACAGGTGTGTGCTGTGGACCTCTTGTCACCGGGGTAGGGCTGGGAGGCCCTCTGCGCCGAGACTCACTTGTCAAAGCAGAGGGATGAGAGTGAGTCGGGTCTGCCTGTCCATCATGTTGGTCCTCTTCGCCTCCCCTCCCAGAGCAGGCGTGGACATTAAAAATGAAATCGGCTATTTTGCAGTCGTGCATTGGGTCCCTTCTGTGACCAGGACGTCGTCGCCCAGGCATCGTGAGGAGGGGCAGTCACGGCGAGCAAGCCCCTGCCACCCAGCGGTGCGGCGCGAGTGTCCGTGTGCGACGCCCCCGAACCGTCGGCAGTGGGTCGCCAGCAGGTGTCAAAGAACCACACCCACACCAGATGCGGAAACCCGGGGCGGGGGCTGGTGCGGGCAGTTACGGCCCGAGGCAGAGCTCAGCCGTGGGTTTCCACCTAGAGATTTTCTTTTCAAAGCCCCTGGGGGGTTGTGTCCCGTTCCCTGTCCCCTGGGTGCAGAGCTCTGTGCTGGTCACTCGGGGGAGACAGGTGGACCCCACGAGTTCTCAAAGGCTTGCCAGGCTCCTGTCAGGGGTCCCTCAGACACCGCCCGTGTTCCGAGAGGAGACGGAGGGCCAGAGGTTGGTCCTGCACTGCCCGGCGGGTGGGCGCGATCGCTCTCGAGCCTGTTTGCTGGCCAGTCCTTAGAAAGGGCCACTGGTGCAAATGGACAGCTTGTCAAACTTTCCTGAGGGTAGGAAGGAACTGGGGGGCTGGAGGTGCTCCCCATTCCTGCGTGGGGCCATCACCGGACAGGCCCTGCCTCCGTGAGAATTGGGCTGTGCCCTCCCACCCACCCCGCAGGTCCGGGTGCAGGGCGGACCTGTTCGGTCGTCCCTCCCGTGCTCCTTGGCTGCGGCGGACCGAGCGGCGGGTTCTCACCAGCAGGAGCGGTGACCGTCCTGAGCTCCTGATCCTGTGATTTGGTGGGGGTGTCATCTAGAGCTAAAAACAAACCGGGGCAAGCCATCTTTGTGACATGACGAAGTTCTGTCCAGGCCGTTTTGGGGACGATAGGGCTCTGTGCCCTTTGAAAGGGAGACAGGGTCACCGACGAGCAGACCCCTCTGTGCTCCGGCCTCCTGCCTGCCCGCGTCCCGTCCGGACATCCGGACAGGGCTCTGTCTGCTGGCCGCCCACCTGCCGTACCCGCAGCTCGTGGCCCAGGCCTGCCGAGAGATCAGTGTCCAGAGACCCCCCAGCCCAGGTGCCTCTCAGATGCCCCCTCTGCCCCGCACATCCGCCTCCCCCCGCCGCCGCTGGGGGCTGTGGGGAAGAACACCGCTGACGGCCGAGGGTGACTCAGCCCTCCGCCCCCCGGCTCACGGCGGCAGCCTTTGTCCAGCTCTCCTGGTCATCCCACCTGCCCCTCCAGCCACGGGCACTGACAGAGGGCCTCAAAGTTGTTTTTCTCTCATCTGCGGAGGCTCTGACTCACCCTGCAGCCCGGCGGGGGGGCGCGCTGTGGGCCGAGCGCGGGGGAGCGAGTCTAGTGGTGTCGTGGTTCAGACGCGCGCGCACAGAAAGCCTCTCTGCTCGCTGCAGCTCTCCAGAAGATGATTAGACCAATTTTACATGTCTAGTCAGCGAGGCTCCGGGAGAGCGGGGCCGTGTCTGTGTGTGCGAGTGGAGTGGGGGGTTGAGGCAATTACCTGCAGGCAGATGAGTCTGGGCTGTGTAATCGGTCCATCCTGGTAACCTGGGGAGTTGGCTTCATTCACTGCAGAGCTGCCTCAAGTTAAAAAGAATTCTCAGACATTTGTTTGCATTTTGCTCTTGC